TTTACACAGAGCTCTTCTTTAGGTCTGGGAAAAGTACCTTCCCCAGACCTGAAGAAGACAAGCTCTGTGTAGCTCAAAAGCTTGTCTGTCACCAATTGAAGTTGATCCAGTAAAAGATATTCCCTCACCCACCTTGCCTCAGTGAAAAGATTGTCCTGTGCGCATACCTAGCGGGCCTTTCCCATGAGGCAAAAGATAGCATCAGCAACAAGCCTGTGGTCTGGGATGCGGTAAAGCTGGGCTCAATTCCCAGCTCTACCCCAAGCTTCCTGGGTGAGCTTGGATGTGTCAATCAACCTCCCTCAATTCCACATCTCTGAGGTGGGTGTAATAATATGTACTTTATCTATCTTGTTTGTTTAGACTGTTAGTCCTTTGGAGCAAGGACTTTGATTTGGTGAGGCTTTGTACAGTGCCCCACAGACTAGTGCTCCAGTCTCAGTGAGCATCTAAACGCTACTGTAATACAAATATAAATAATAATGGGACACTGAATGAAATCTGAGGTGCTTCTCACACACACATACCAGGAAAGACCAGGAGTAAGTTGAACTACGATGTTCAACTCTGACTTAAAAGTGATTGCTCCTTTTGTGACCCATGATTGTTGATTGTGTATTGTATAAAAACATCATGCTGTGTGGTGTGGTGTGCTATGTGAGACAGGAAGCACGTAACAGAAAATTCAGTGTTCGATCACTGCCTTTTACATGCAACTCTTACTGGAATGTCACTTTTGATACCATTTTTTTTCTTTCTTCCCAAACTCCAGCTATGCTTCAGCCGGTTACGTGGATGCTTCGCTTATACATTTGTCTTTCTTTCATTGCATGTTGGTTCCTCCCAAACTTCAGAGCCCAGGTGATGCAGTATTTACTGCAAGAAGAAACATAATGTTCACAGAGGTGATCAAACTGCTACTGAAAAAACCCTCCTCACTTCGGTTTGCTACATGTATATAAATTTAGATTAAACTCTACCCAGAATTCACAAGAGGAGAAAACCAGTGAAACAACACCCTTGGCGGGGAGGCACTTGCACCCAGGGTGAG